GTGCGGGCGGGCCACCAAGGCGGTGGACGGGCCGCACGTCAAGGTGAGGGCCGGGGCAGGCCGGAGGGGATGTGGTTTGAGGTGTGGTTTGAGGGATGTGGCAGGTGCTGCCTGTGGAGCTGGTCTGGCAGGTCGCGGTCCCTGTTGAACCCCTTTCGCTGCCTGGGGTGACCGTGGCGTGAGAGCAAAGCCCCTTGCCTTGAGCCATAGTGTCGTTGGGAGCTGGCCTTGCTGCCCCATGCAGGTGGGTAGGGAGGCAGCGTCCTGCGGTTTGAAGCGATGGGCTTTCCAAAGCGATCGGGCAGTGGGAAACGGCGCTGTGACCTGTGGAAGGAGTCGCGTTGTGGAAGATGTTGCCGCACTGGCACAGCCGGGCGTGAGGTAGTGCAGCTGGTGGTGTGCCCGTCGAGCAGTGACCCGCCGCAGCTGAAAAGCGACAGGCAGCAGCGTGACTCATGAGCCTGATATAGTGCCACAAGCGACAGAGCAACCTCCTTGTGCGAGCGGTGAAGGATATCACTAGGAGAAAGGCGCAGTCGTGACTCAGCTTGGGCCTACGTAGAAAGTGGATGAGGTGGGACGTAATCGCCAGAGATTACGTGAGGCAGCATGGTGCCGTGGCTCTGGCAGCAGGAGCGATATAGCAGAAAACAGCGTCAGGTATCTGATGATAGGGTTTCCCAGCAGGTAGTGAATTTTCTCCTTGGAAGAGAGTGACGTGCGCAGGATGTGCTGAGCATGACTTGCTTGTCGATATTCAGATGCAAAATAAGTTGGACGAGGAAAAGATGTTTTTGGCATTGCTGCTGGTTTCTTAAATGTGCTAGAAAAATACAGAGTATTTGTAAATTAAACATGATCACCATGTTGCTGCAATAGCAGCAAAAATTGGTTACTTGCCAGTTAAGATAGATAATAGATATCACATAACTTAATTGTGTTCTGCATTCAATTTCCACGTCCAGTTGGATCGTCTTAAGTAAAAACAGATGGATTTTGCAAAAATTAGCAGAATAAAAATCTGTATAAAACAGCTGAATGCATGGTATCCACTGATACAGTATGCTCAGAAACACACTACACCCATTGGAATGTAGGAAAATATTATCTGCAAAATTAAAACTTCAATAAAAAAGGGTGTCATAAGCATTTTGTTGTGTTTTCTTCTCAAAGTATCACTTTTGGAATGCCTGGTTTCATGCTGTGTAATAGGACTGGGCTTTGTTCTGCGTACCTGTTCTTGTAGTTGTCTTTTGCGCTTGATGGCATGTTGACTTGCTCTTGATGCTGGAGGAAAATTACAGAATGCATTATCTAGCCTACTGGGATTTTGTTTTTACCCAAACTGCCTGAAATATTTCTTACACAGTCCTTAATCTCTACTTGGCATCTACAAAGATCTGTTGAAATGAGGGTTAGCCACTACTGTAATGTAAATACAAAGTATTTTTATATGTGCTCAAAGCATCAACACATAGGAGCAGCTTGCACTGTTAGGTATTTGTTGATGAAACATTGATGTGTTCTCTTTGTTCAACAGATTTCAGTAAAATAACATATGCAGGTGATAAGGTCACTTGAAAACAGTTTTGCATACTTTACTCGTCATCTGAAGCAGAACAAAAATGGTATGAAAAGGGGAGAGGAAAAGATGCAGTGGTCATGGTAGCACTGAAAACTTCCCTAGCTGGTGTTGTATGGTTTTTAATGTCTTAATCTCTCTTTTTTCTTTTTTTTAATGGAAGTAATTAGTATTAGCAATGCAGGGAGCAGAAAAACAATCTCCTTTTATTTGTGTGACACTATTTAATGCCATTTTGCTGGTGGGTTCATCTTTCAGTATCTTACCAAGGAGATTCTGTATCTATACGTTGAAATTTCTTTGAAAGAAAACAAAGAAAATCTGAAATGCTTGGCAAAATCAAAATAGATATATAGATCACCATGCCTGAATGAGGCATCTCAGGCCTAAAACTTCAAATGTTCTAAAGACATGGAAAAAGCTTCCTGAATTGTGAAAGGCTAGCCAATTACCTATGTATATATACATAAAATTATTGTCAGATATTTAACCAGCAACTAGCAGTAACTAAACCATCTGTTTGGTATATGTAGAGTGTTAGTTACTGCTGTTTAATCTATGAATGTGTTTATCTATGTACGTGAATTTTCCATATAGGAGTTTTTTCTGTTTGTTTGAGAGGGAAAGTGAAATAGCGCTCTCATCAGAGGCAGATTTTGTTAATGAAAGCTTTTAATCTAAATTTTCTCGAGTTTTCCCATTTGTTGCCCCAGAAATAGGGAGGTTGTGTGAAGATCAAAAAGGCTGTATTTTGCTGTCTTATAGCAAGAACATGGAATGGGGAAAAAAAAAAAAAAACACTTACACTTTTCTAATAGAAACCAAAGTATAGCTGAGTAGTTTTAAATGCTAATCTGAGTATGCCTCATTGCTCAACGTTAAAATTGGGATGTGGAGTAACAAATGCTTGTATTTTTTATTTTTCTGAATGAAATATCTCCAGTCCTTTTCCTTGCAAAGGTAAATATTTAAGTGTAATTTTATGACTAGAAAGGCCTCTGAGATGAAAATAAGAATTTACTTAGCACTGTATTTATGAAATAAGTGAACCAAACTTGAGAACGTTGATGGTCAAATCAAACCTTTCAGAGACTTAGCACATAATATGGTACTAAATGCAGCTCTGCATTTTGTTCAGATGGCTTTTATTAAACATGATTTTGGATCGCATAAAGTACTTAACGTCTTTCTATGCTAAGTTTTGTTGACATGCGTAATTCTTTGGGCTTCAGACTGCACTGTAATCTTCAAAAAGCATTATTATTTACAACTGATACATGAGTTGAGTTATGTTTCTCTATAAACAATATTCCCGTCATCACTTTTTTCTATGGTAACATAGCTGTAGCAGTCTGTACCTTCAAAAGTACCTTCAGTTCGGTTATGCATCATTATATCCCATTGTAAGGAGTGTACTTGTTAAACCTGTAGCTACTTCAAAAAAGCAAAATGTATCCATTCTTTTGTTTTCCACTTTCACCAGTCTCCCCATAGTAGAGCTGGCTTTCTTCTAAGCTCGTCATTGCCATCTGAGCCGTGTTACTGCCAGTGGATGAAGAGCAGTGAGTTCAAAATAACGACTAGCAGGAGCGCAGCTATCGGCAGTTTTCACCACTACTAGCTGTTGCAGTGCAGCTTGAAATGGTGTTGGTGTTCCAGAAGGCAGATGGATGACAGGAGAGCCGTAGGAATCTGTTAGTTTGACCCAGCTCTGACAACGGTAGCTTATTTTCCTGGCTCACGGGGTGCCCTTACAAAAGAAAAGAAAACAAACAACCGTGAACTATATCGAGACTTTCACTACACCAAGGGGTATCTGCTTGAAATGATTTATAGTTATTTTGAAAAACTTCAGAGCTGTGGAGAAACAAGGATGCACAAGGGAACTACCTTAAAGCCAGAATAAACAAAAGCAATCGCTATGCGCTTGTTCACGATGGTAATACCTGTATAGTTAGAGTGGAAAAATATATTTAAATGAAAGGGGGAGGGGGAGCGAAAACGGACAACTCAGTAGATGAGGGAGTTCAACTAAATTCAGCTTTTAGCAATAAAGCTGTTGATGATGCAAGCCATGCTGATGTTGCTGGCTTGCTTGGTAGTACTGCTCAGGAGCTGCAATTCCTGAGTGACCTAGCCATGCCAGAAAGAGCCCTTCATGTAGATACTCATATGCAGACAATTCTGGGCTTTATTTACTTATTTGTTTTTAAAGTACAGCTTGTTTTACCTGCCACTTCTCCTCTAATCCACTAGCACAGAAGCATCAGCAAAAGCACTGTTTTGCCTGTGCAGAATACTGCTACCCTAAGGTGTCCTGTCAGAGCATATCTAGCACTGAAGTGCCCTGAGCCAGCAGTAATTTTGTTTGTCATAGTAATTTCCTATAGAAAATTCAGTCTCAAATGTTTTGGCAGTGGCAGGTATTTTATACCTGCACAGGTATAAAATATGGCCAATAAGCCCCCAGGATCATCAGGCTCACTATACATGTGCACATCCATTTATTTGGCAGGGGAAGGTATGCAGCGTATGCCCCTCTCACCAGAATAAATTCTGTGGCCCTCCTAGTTACAAAGTTTCTGCATCGCTGCTCTAGTCCTTTCTAAGATCATTTATCTTTATTAGACTAGTGTTCTTTGTGGTGTTTTTGGTTTTTTTGGTTTTGCTTCTTTTTCCCTAACTGCTGTTATGAGGGATGGTGTTATCTTGAGACACAGAAGGAAGGAGTATTTTGATCAGAAAGTCGATGGAGAAACTGGGAGGACTGCCCTTTACTAGGGAGTATTCTGCTTACTGTGATCATTAACTCTCAGTTCTTCAGTGATGCTTGTTGCAGATAGTGACATTCATGGGTTTTTTTTTTTTTTCCAGAGGTTGCTTTTTATGCTGGTGAGTTCTGTAGCTTCCATCATTTTCCGTTGGGATTTGCTTACCCTGTAAGTGCACTTCACGATGAATTTGGTTTACATTCTTTTAGTTTCAAACCCATTTAACAGTATTTTTTTTTTTTTTACTAGCACATACAGGCTCTGTTCAGCTTTGTTAATTATGGTACAGGTGCAGGTGGAAGTACAACTGACAAGTTTCAGCACAGCTACCTGGTGTATTACATAACTGAGAGAGAGCCCTGCTGCGAAAGAGCTACAAGGTTAGAACTGTTCTGCAAATGTTGGCAGATATGACTTCTTGGAAGACTTTGTGGGTATTCCGTGCATTTGGAACAACGTCTTTGACATTTTCAGTATTTGTATTATTTGTCAATTTATGCTTCAATAAACAAGCTCCTCGTCCATCGTATTTATGAGGGTGCTGCTGGAAAAGTGGCATACAATTTTGTGCCTGAAAGAAGTGACGTTATTGTTCTGTGGAGATGAATGGCTGTTTTCTTCTAGGTGATTTGTGTAGTAGCCATTTCTGCATAGACAAAGGTATATGCCAAATGGAAAAGCTCATGTATTTGGCTAAAACAAATTAGTAAACAAAAAATATTTGGTGGGAAAAAGGGAAACTTGTTTTCTATATGAAAATTTGAGCCTGCACTTCAGGTGTGGAAAAGAACCAGGATTTACCATGAATTCACCTTGCATACTCCATTAGCGTGGTCATTATCATCAACTTTGCTCTAAGTGTTTTTCTGGGAAGAGTTAATTAAATTTTAACTTTGGGTGGGTTAGTATAGATTAAAATACCTTATTTCAGTTAGCTGCGAGTACAGTCTAGGCCTGAACATTTTCAGGTTTTTCTAGTATGTTGAATTAAACTAGCTTTAGTTCACAAAAGCAGTCTTTTTTTCCTTTCTTTCTTTCTTTTCCATGTTGGAATACTTATAGCAATTACTTTTGGCCAACAGGAGCCTCCTTTGATGTGTGTCTCTTAAAAAGTGCCTCTACGACTTTCATCTTTTTTAGGATATGATAGGAAATATTTTTACTTTCTTAGGAAAGGTCTGAGAGTATAATTAATCTTTGGAAAGATGTTTCAAGTAGTAATTGTGGGTTCCTGGATGGATTTACATTTTGCTTTTTGTGTTGTTTTTGCTTAAGTATAGCAAGCCAAAGTACATTGGAACATAGTTTTTGTCTTTCGTGTATAGCACTGGCAATTTAATAAAGGTCTGAATAGAAGCTTAGGAGTTTTCTGGTTTTTAAATAAATGAATGTAAGTTGGGTTCCGATAAGCCTAAAGTTCTGACCAAGCTGCTGGTAAATTGGTGGTAGTATCATATCGTATCCTATAGGCAAAGCAAACATAAGAAAGACTAAAATAAGCTCTAGAATCTCTTAGAGATATCCATGCAAAGCTGAGTTCAAGAATTCTTTCTAAACTCAAATGATAAGTTTTAGACAAGTGAAAATAATCTAGGTAGCAGGAAATTAATAGGGAATGTAAAATGCTTATTATAGTGAATGTTTCTGAGTGTTTGGTATTACATTTGGTTGTAATTCCATATCGTACTGTTCCAATATTATGAGGATTTTTGATTTCTGTGGTCTTATGCTAATACTTTTTTGTTTTCCTTGCTCAAAAATTTTAATGCTTATGCAGAAATTAAAAATTCTGTAAAGCCTATGTTTGCCTGCATCCTGTTAGAAGATATGCATTTTTTTATTTCATCATCCTGAGTGGGCATGTCAGGTCCTGTGCTGAGGTGTACAATCCATGCTGAAGTCCAAACTGAAGCGTTTTTGTAATTTACTGACAAAGGTTGATTAAAGCTGCCTAAATGTGCCTGCACGTGTTCCAGGCATCTCCAGGAACCTCATATGCCTTGGGGGGATTTTCTGTCTGAAATAGAAAGACCCATGTATTATTTGTACTTCCTTTTTATCCATGATGCAGAAAGCACAGGAGTAAATACCTACCCGCTTACCTTTTGTACAATGAGCAATGAAAAATAGTTACAATGTTTAAAATAGCAGTGATGACAATAAAAAACAGCAAGGACCTGGAAAAAATATAACTTGGTAAGTTACTTTCTTATGTTAATGATCTGGTACTAATAGTCTTCGTAAGGCATGAACTACTGAATACTCGGAAGAGATGTAGATGTAGAAAGTTATAATGAATTTCAAGTCCTTATTTCCATCAAATTTCCCATGATTTGTTTCATGGTATCTAAATGAATGCATCTGAGCAGTTCTGCAACTGCTGCCTGATTGTCAAGACTTCAAATACTTCTATTTAGTATCTCCTTTTCATCTTCATTGTTTTGCCTTCTTTTCCATTTCCCTATCTACAGTTTACTACTGACTGTGAATGCATTGCATCCGGTAAGTACTTGCATTGTTTTAGTCCTGTATGAGGAAAGCTTGAGTTGTTACATGCTTAATCTTCTCAAACAGATGCATTAGTTTCCCTGAACTTCTCAATGCTGTAAACAGTTGAGATGGCTTTACTTGCATTCTTATGGTCTACCTAGCTTATTTAGCAGACAAGTCAATCTTTCTTCTTTTGGCAGGAAATGAATGGAGTTTTAAAGAACATGCTTTCAGAATGGTTTTCGACGGGATTCCTAAATTTGGAACGGGTTACTTGGCAATCACCTTGTGAAGTACTCCAAAAAATTAGTGAGTAAGTGCTAAAAATTGCTAACACTTGCTGATGAGAACTTTCTGCAGGTGTGGTTGTGTAGATCCACTATTTTCAAGATACACTTTTCAATACTGAACAATAGGCAAAATATCATCAAGGAATAATTCCAGCTGGGTTAGTTTCCTTCCCTTCTGCTCTATTCTTTGCGTTCTCAGATGTGCTGCTGTTACTTTTACTGCAAACCAAGGTTCTTGCTGCACTGCCGCCTTGCACTCCCTTTCAGCTGCTGCCACCACCTCCATAACCACTGCCACGTTCTTCTGCACCAGTTTTTGTCTCTCAGGGTGGACCGAGGGCAGAACCAATATTTAAGTCTGAAACATGGAATGCAGGACACTCTATAGCATACTTTACTTCTAATGTAGTGAGGCTCACCATCCTGTCTGGAAATGGTGAGGTGCCCAGAATCAGTTGTGAACTCTGTATGGAGAGAGCATCTTTGTTGATTGTTTGTTTTAAGAAACATGTCTTAAAAGCCACAACATTTGTTGCTGACTTTCTTTGAAATATTCAGAATTGTATTGATCAAGTAGAAGATGATTGAGTAAAAGTTATAGTGTGGTGTATTGTCATTTGAAAAGCTTGAAATGAATCTCTACAGAAAGAGTTGTGAAGATATATGACGTAAATGTCAAAGAGGCAAAGAAAACAGAGTGCTTATACAACCTACATTTCCAAAACAAAAATAGCTAGTAATATCTCACTTAGTCTTCAGGGTATTTTGGTATACGCATTAGACCCCTTCAGTATGTAATAGGGAAAAGAATACTTTGAGTGATTCCTTGAAGATGTGACTGGGAGTGCTAACTGAGATTTGAGTGTGTTTAATTTCAACTAAGTGTATCTATCGTTGAAGATGATATATTAAAGCATTTGGATAAGGTACTAAAACTGGCTGTGGTGAAAGATGTCACCTTCTTGTTTCTACACAGTACGTTACATGAACCTTCTAAAATAATAATTTACAAACTACCCTTGACTCATATCTAGATCTCTTTAAAAGCAGATGACACCATGGGATGGGTGTTGATGTGTCAGTGACAAATATGTTTTAGAATAGTTCAGAGTAGGAGAGCAGAAATATTTTGAAATACATGACAAATTGAACTTTTAAAATATATCCTAGGCAGTGTTACTGTCAGAAATCACTTTGCACTTCCATATGAAAATTTTACAAAGTATTTTACAAGGATGATTGTGGTATCTCTGCTTTGTCACTGGGAAAACTTAATTCCTTGGAAGTGTGTCCAGACTCATTCAGTGAGACTGTGATCTAAATCTGGTATGCTGCGTCGAAGACAAAGTGCAAGTGAGATCTCAGACGTGTAGCGAACATACCCTAAAGACAGCTAGAGAGATTTGGATATGCGAGATGTACTTTACGATCAACTTTGTCAGTTTCAGGATGAATCTTACTTTTTCCGTTGATAGCCTGATTCTCCTTTTTTGATCTGACGGTTTTGTCATTGCTATCAATGGGAAGAGCACTGAGCTTGTAGGGTGGTCAGCTGACTTCCATTTTGAAATGAAAAACATAATTTTTTCTTTTTTCCATTGAGTTCTGAAGCTGTGCATCCTGTTAGAAACTGGGTTGATATGAAGCGTCGAGTTGGGTCATATAGAAGGTGCTACTTTTTTTCTCACTGTGCAATCCCAGGCGAACCATTGATAGTCTTGCATGTGGCACTAACCAGTGAAATCTCCAGCAGCATTCAGGTACAGTCACTGATATGTGCAGTACACAGCAAAGTGCTCATATTGCAAAACATACCTTTTAGAGCCATAATTCCTAATCCTTTGGGACTATTTGTTATGACTAGAATTTTGAAAAACAATATGCGGTATGTGGTGCTGATGATGTCCTAGTTTAAGGAAAACGTCAGCGATTGTGATATAATCGGTTCCATGCATGTATTTTCTCGAGAAATCACTTCTGAGATAGTTTATCATCTGGGTACGGTTTTGAATGCCACATAGCTTTACACATTCCTGAAATTAAGTTGTTTCTAGCGTGCAAAGAAACTCAGTGCAGGACCACCTCATTGACTCTGTTTTACTGACTCCAAGTGATTTGATCCTTATTGTACAATTTCTTCTGTTCCTTATTTCACCCAGCCTTCATTGCTGTGGGTGACAGAGTTGCCTATATATGAAATCTCAGTATTTAGAAACTCAAAATTGAGGCATTTTTGTTTGTTGAAAAAATATTTTTAGGGCTGTCAAATTAGTGTTAGTGTTTATTTGTGTGGTTTTTTTTTTTTTTTTTTTTTTTTAAGAAACGAGAGAGTTGCCTTTTCCCTTAAGAAGTTACAGGGTTTCTCTGAATATCTCTTATATTACATACATTAATTTGGGTTTTTGTTCAAGTGCAGGTGGTATAAGAAAAGATAGTAAAAGAGATTAAAACTTCAAAGCAGTTATGATTGCTTTTGAAAATTTATGCAGTTATTATTTCCTGTACTTGCTAATAGGTAAGCAAGTCTTTTTTCTACTTTTTATTTTTGACTAGAACTTTATTGTTTCTCCCAGAGAGCACTGAATAGAACAGTGGAAAAATGTTAATATATTTGAAAGTTGAAAAGAACCATCCCCCATAATGATAGTAATAACCACGACCAACTTTTTTGGATTCTTGTTTTCCCAGGCCATAGTGAAAGAAGTCCATCCCATAGAAACAGAAGATCTGGACAAAATTACGACAGCAATTTTCTATTCAATCAGTTTGACTCAGCAGGGACTTCAAGGTGTGGAACTTGGGACTTACCTCATCAAACGGGTTGTAAAGGAGCTGCAGGTAGGTGTGGCAAGTTGCACTTGAGATGTGAGATGTTATTTGGCCACTGTGCTCCTCCTGCATCCCTGTTTGGTTTCCATTTTGTTTCATTGCTCAAAGTGAGGAGCTGCTTTGGTCTTCCCATGTACTTTCAATGTTTGAAGATGTGGAAAGAGTTGGAAGACTGCTTTCTGCTGTTGGTTAATGACTGCCAGATGTAGATTCTGTCATGTTGTTGACATGCACTGATTGCATTACTTGGGTTTGTTTAATCACATGCATAGGTTGCTTAAAAGTCAAATTAGTGAATTCCTCTTGAAGGTAGCTTAAATTAGTTTTATTTTTCAATGTAGTGTATTATATGATTTACTGTTGTCTCTTAGTTGAGTGTGTGCGGACATTGATAATACATGTGAACAGGTTCTCTTTCAGTCCCCAGATCAATGTTTTCTCTCTTTCCAATATACCTGGTTATTTCCTTTTTCAGCATCTCATGGATGCTGCTGTTACAAAGATTTTTCCTTTACATAATTCTTTTTTGTTCTTGTTTGTTATAATGAATTGCCCCTGGTTATGTATACGATGCATATGCTTGCTCGGTTGAATAAATATGTATGTAAACAAAAGAAAAAAAGGGCAGAAGGAGATCTTTGTCTGGACACTCCTTTTTACATAGGAAGGAAGAAGTCTTCAACACTTGAAAGTTGCAGGATTCAATTGCTCTATTACAAATCAGTTCTATGAATTCATACAATATCATTGCATGTTATGGGAGTATTGTTAGCAGTCTGGGCACTTCTTGTAGAACCTTTTTCCAAGCAACTGAGGAAAGGAATGAAAATCCCTTTAAACAAAGTGCTGTGAAAGAGGCAGATTTCTGTTAAGTATACTACTACTTTTAACAGTATTTAATACTTGAGGTATTAAAAAAGCTGCCACTTAAAGGCAGTGGTCACTGCTTTTCTTTATCTTCATTCTTCCAAAACCTAGATTTGTAGTGATGTTTAGAAAATAATCCATAATTTAGAGCTTTAGTTTTATTTACAAAAATAACTTAAACTTGAATATATTGAACTATTTATTAATACAAAAATATCGATTAGTTAACTACTGCATCATAGCTGACTGCCCTGGAGTCTGTGCTTTTGAAATGGCTTTTAGATGAATAAAGTGAGGTAGTCCAGGTATAATTAGGCTGTGCCATCTGTCTTATCACGACTGAGGAGAAATTTGAATAAATTCATGCAGTTACCTGCCTTTGCATCTGAAAAATAATTTCTGGACGATTGAGTTGCTCTCATAAAATAACCCTATTGACAAATGTATTTGTCCATAGCTAAATTGTTTGCAATATTAAAAAAGTTATGAGTGAGTTGCACAGGCAAACAGACATACCATACTTGGATAACCTATGTGCATATTCTAAAATTTGACGCGTTCAATGAAAGAGTGTGCTCCTTATTTAAGACGTGAAGACAAAGTTTCTACATTTAAACATTGTAAAATGCAGCCCTCTCTGTTTCTCTGAAAGACACGATGAATAGCAAACACTCTGGCTGAAAAGCATTTAAATGAACCCTAATCATAATATTATTGCCTCAAGCTTAAATAATTAATTTAATACTGAGAACTAAATGCATTCCGTACAGTGCCAGAGATAGCATTCTTCCTTCCCACTTAAATTTCACATACTGCTTCAAGTTATTGTGAAAAATATGTTGTTATAGGTAAGGTTTTCTATGGTGAGTCTGAACTCAACATCCTTAAAATTAATTGGTTATGAAGTTGTGGCAAAATTTAGACTATGTATATATAATATTTCAAACATAATTCAACTACCTGGAAAAATATCGAATTACATAAATGAAACACAGATAAATGAGATGTTTCTTATCCATATTTGTGCTGTTGCAAGAAGGATCATTTCATACTGACTTGCTGTGTAACAGGATGTCGCATACCTGCGGAGAGATACTTTATTTTATCTTTTTAGGCATTGATGGAGTAAGATCTTTGAAGAATTAAGAACACTTGAAACAAGCTGCTTTCCTGTGATTCAGGAACAACCATAACTTCCTATTTTACTGTTCCTCATCCCTCTTCCCAACAGTGTATTTTATGAAGCTGCATGGATATAATTTATTCTGGCTGGTGGACAAACAGTGACAGTTCGTCATGTGTTGCTGGAATTTTTAATCTCTTTGTATCTTCAGAACAAGACCAGATACCTTTTTTGAAGATATACTTCAGTAAACCTGACATGGTTAAGCTGAGTGCAGGTGAAAATTTATGAACTAGAGCATGGGCTACTATTACAGGGGATCAGAATAGAAAACCTAGTTGTTCTATCTGACTTAATAACAACCAGCTTGTATTTACAAGTCTGATTTTTCCTTCCCCCCCCCCCCCCCCTGAGACCTTTTAAAATTAAATGCTGGTCATCTTGATCTTGTCTTACTTCTAGAACGTTAATTGCCTTGTAGACTTTGCATCTGGATAATAAAGTACCTTAGCCCATTTTCCTCCTCTGCCTTAATTCATGTGGCTAACCATCCAACTATTTTAAAAGGCAGAAGTTACCCCAAAAATCAGACTAGTGTTCAGGAGGGAAAATCCCAATATCATGGGTTTTTAAACCACGTAAGAGTGGAATTTTCAGTCAGGATAGTATTTCTGCCGTTATCCCTTTCTGTAGGAAGTGAAGTAGATCTCAATTCTGCAGTTACAGATTTCAGTGGCTTTCTTGCTTGCCATAAAACTCATGAAACATTGTAAGAATTATAATATAATACATAATGTTTTCATATAGTGCTGTATTGTAATGAATTAACACACGTTTCTAGGGCGTAGAATGCCTAGCACACTTGTGTGCCATTCTTTAATTGGAATTTCTAGGTTTATGTTTGCTACTCTTGAGTAAGACTTCATAATAAATAGAAGATGTTTTTGCTGAAGTCAAGAGAGTTAACCACAGTAGTTGTAACATTAACTTTAGAAACAACATCATTGATTTATTGTGTCCATTAATAGTGTATAAAATGTGTATGAAAATGGATCCATATCTCTTACTTTCCTTCTTTTATCAAATGCAAAGGAATGGTTAGTTACATCTAAGAAATCTGAAGCAATAGGTGAGTTAATATATTAAATTGTACGGTGATAAAATCTAATTTTTTGGTACAGTATTAGGCATATTCAGCTGGACACCAGCCACCATCAAAATAAGGTATTATCTTAAATCCCGTTTTTATTCTGCAACATGATTTAAAAGTATGGCACCCCATCAGTCGTTTCTTGCCATCTGAACAACTTCAGATAGTGTTGTTTCCAGGCTGTACCTTTGGAGAATGAGATCGCTTTTCCTTGTTTGATTGGTTAATTTTTTTGTTTCACTAGTCTTATGAAATCAGAAGCCTACCCTGTTACTGTGGCTGTGTTTAATAGAAATAATGATGGGAACATTGCACAAGAAAAGACTTTTGATTACTGTTTCTTCAGCACATTTTTGATTTGAGATCAAAGCATGGCTTTGGCTTACTTCGCAGGGGTGTGGAGAGCAGATGGATCTGCAGAGGATGTGCCATGAGGCTATCTGTGTCTCTGCTGAATGGATATGAAGAGAGAATATACAGAAGGTTGTGGTTACAATGCATTTCAGAAGTCGTCTTATGTGATAGTATTGTATAATAATTCTGCAAAGCCAGGACAGCGGAAGTCCCCCTGCTTGTACGTGGGTGGCAAACTATACAATTTTTGTGAGGCCTGGAGTGAAAAGATGAAGTTTAATCCAAAAGTGTTTTAAGCACCACTTGTAAGTGCAGGAGAGTGTGATTATTTTGTCTCTGTAACTACTACGTTAAAAGGGGCTTAATGCCCTGGCCTGTTGAAAATGGACAGTAATTTTAATGAAGGGCCATGTACCTTTAAAATGGTTTTAACAGCAATGTCCATATATTTTCTCTATCTCTATCATTTGTTTTCTTGCTGATAGACCTAATCTCGGTACCATTGGAGGGCTGAAGAGAGCTAAAAAGATTAAAGATAATCCAGAACAATTTATCCATGATGTGTGTTCTCTGCTATTTTTCCATAGTTCTTTGATGTTGTTAATACTTTCTTCTTTTCTCTGCTTTCTACTTTCTTCCTTACTCTTTCTTCTGTGTTCCAAAGTATTGTTCTTGAATTTATTGTCTTGAATTCTGCAAGAACCACCTCCCCTTACGTATTTTACATCTGTGAAGTAACTCTAAAGCATTATACTGTTGGGGATGAGGAATTATTTGATGTTCTTTCATAATGCGTAATCATTCAGCTTTTGTTGTATAATTTTGTGACTCCCATCTCAATGGGCTCGACCTTTCAGCAGAGAGAAGCCATGTGCGTTTCAGCTTCAAAATACTCATACTGCACAATTGCTGCAGGGCAAAGGCAGTCATATGTTTTGTCCTTCTTCCAAAATTCTGAAAATTCCCCTTCAGTGCATTAAATTGCATGCATGTTCTGTCTTTCTCCCTGGTTACGTATAAGCAAAGGACTTTCCAAGGCTGTCTGTGTTGAGAGTAGACAGTTTGGAGCAGCATTATACCCACTTACTTTAAAAGAAACAAACAATACAACAGTAGTGCTGAATTGACTTTATATTAGTGACAGCAGCTGAAACAATATGGCCTCAGCGAAAAAATCTTGTTAGCATCAGAAATTACGTATCATTAAGCACGCTTCCAGCTGCTTCTGAAAATAGGTAGTTGAGATCTGTGATAGGAAAAGGATTTTATATATATATTTATCTATATCTGTATATCGCGTGTGTGTATATATATCACCTTTGCATTGCTTTGTAATAAACATCATCTTTTAAAGCACTTCTAATTGGCTAGGTGTTCCAGGTTATATATGTTGGAACTGTCTTTAATTGGACTAGTGATAAAATGCTTATGGAAGAAGAGACCATTTGAAAGGGTTGAGGAATTTCTGTTTTTCATTCCATTTGAACGGTTGATGTTTAATACACTTTTATAGCT